ACCGCACTTTAAGTCCGCAACCCATCTTCAAAATTACCTTTCAAATCTTCAAAACCCATTCCCAAATTAATCACTATAATGGCATTTCCTCTCCCATGAAAGGGAAGAAACAAAAGAAAAATTCCCATAAGAAAAAAGAAGAATTCTAACTGTTTCCTTCGATTTCTTTCAATTTAGATTTTCGAATTTTGTTCAAGGTATGTGATTTTCAATTTCAATTTCAATTACTGTATGGAGGAGTTGGTTGGCATATCAATTTCTTTCAATTTCGACCTTTGATTTTCAACCTTCGTTCAAGGTCTTTATGGAGGAGTTGGTTGGTGTTACTGCTTGTGTTACTGAAAACATGAGTTGTTGTTTGAGATGTGTGGTGGCGGCGGTGGCGTCATTGTCTGTAGAAGGCGGCTTCAAGGTGGTGGTGGACGAAGAAGAGGTGGCGGTTCTTGGTTTGGAAGTCATGTTGCCAATGAAGAAACTAATATTGGTGCCGCTGTTGTCGTGGCGAAATTTGATTAAAGTAAAAGGCTTCCATTGTTTGACCATCGGCCTTTCTAGTTTTCATGGGGTGGGGTGGCGTGGGGCATATTTCTTTTTTTTGTTTTTTTTAGTTTAATGGTTAATATTTGGAAAAATATAAATATACAATTTTACTCATTTTAATTTGGTCAATTATTTTTGTTTTGGTTAACCAATGGTCAAATTTCATTCATTTGGACCTCTGCTGCTAATTTTTCAAAGGTTTGAGATATTCGCTAGTACAAATTGAAGGTTATGGTAAAATCTGAAAAAAAGTGATTGGTTTGGGACTGATATTGCAATTTCTCTAAAATTATTTATTGTATTTCTATCATGAAAATTATGATCATTCCTGGATTCAAACTTTACTTAAATAGCTTTCATTATCATTGCTACTCGATGTGAGGATGAAAGGAGAATTGATTCGTTTGAATATATTTTCCAAACATATCACCATCGAGTCAACTCCATGAACTTGTTGACCATAAACCTATATAATCATATTGAGATAATTAAATACGCATAATTGATTATTACGGAGACATCTTTTGAAATTTATTTTCACAATGCATCTTTCATTATTATTTTAAAGTTTCTTCTTAAAAAAAAAAAAATCCATTTGAGGACCCTTAGCTAAATTCTTTTGTATATAATGTCTAC